TCGTGCGACAAGGAAAACCTTTGCTGACCAATCCCTTATGCCTTGTGCAACGAGGTTTACAGGATCGGTCGGCAAAGGTTTTCCTTGCCGACCGATCCCCGTCTTGACTGCCGTTTTGTGCTGACAAGCAGCTGAGCTGGCACAACGCAATGGCCATTTTTATTCTAATGAAGTGGGGGATATTTAAATCCCCGCTTCATTGGCTATGTTGGTATGTCTAATTTACATGCCTGTTGGCAGAGGCATGGAGTCTAGACATACCCTAGTGACCACAGTGGGCTTCAGATTAAGTCCATCGACAGCAGTCCCACTGGAAGGGCTAAAGAAACTGTGGGTTTGTCTTCACTGGAGATTTTGCTTTGATTATTCATTTTAACTCGTCCCTGTTCAGACAGAAAAGCCTCTCTGAGCAAGGCAGCAACTTCACTGGGCGGTTTGGTTGCTGGTTTGTAACTCAAGGGATCCCTAGAGAGAACTGTTGCCAACACCCCAAGATAACAATTAATACTGGTCCTCCAGTCCCTTCTCACAATTCCAAGGGGTACACCCAGCTGGTGTCCTGTCTTGTCACGTCCCTATTCCCTGGTCCCTGACTGGAAGTCCCTTACTTATGGTACTGTTAGCTTTATCTCAGCCAGCTGGTCTCTACCTCCCTGGGACCCACACAGCTACAATTACACTGGACACAGCCTCCTCAGTCACACCGTGCTCCCAGAAGTCTGAGCTTTAAGCGTCACTGTTTGACAACGGTGTTTTTAAACGGAGTGAGATAAATACCCCTACATGCATCCTCTCACATTGATTGAAAAATGGATTCAATCCATTTAACTTATCTTTGTTTCTAAACCAGCTACATTCAAGCAGTGCAACTCTGAGAGAACAGCTCTTGCCATCAGAAGCAGCACTGAATTGTCTCCTCCTTCTGCCAGTTTTATCCCTTCCTCTTGCCCTAGTGTTCAATGGCTGGAGATGCATGAAAAGCAAGCTCTGTTCGGGTATGTCTACACTACAGCACTAATTCCAACTAACTCAGTTTGAATTAGTTAATTCGAACTAAGCTAATTCGAATTAGCGCATCTAGACTTAAAAACTAGTTCGAATTAGCATTTTGCTAATTCGAACTAGCGCGTCCACACTGGACGCTGGGTCGCATTTAAGGGCAGCTGAAACCGGTTCCGGCAGGGCATCAGGTCAGTAGTTGCTTTGTGTGGCTGCTGTCTGAGAGGAGGGAGCTAGAAGGGGGGAGAAAGGGGAGAAAGGGAAGGGAAAGCTCAGGGTTGGGGGTATTGCTGGCTCTCCCATCTCGCAGCACTGCGGGTGCGGGGGCGTCAGGGGGGAGTGGGTGTGGAAGGTGGGGCAGGAGGGACGGGGGGTGCAGAGGAAGCGGGAAGGGGAGCAGGGGTGGGAGGAGGAGCGAGGGCTTGGACGGCCACAGGGGCCGGAGCAGGAGGAGGCAGGAACCTGTTGACCAAGGTTTGGAGGTGGCCTCTGAGGGCATGGCCCTGCTCCTCCAGCGCCTCCAAACTCTGCTGCCACAGCAGCAGGTCCTCCCGGACCCAGTGGTCCTGGGTGCGGAGCTGGTGCTCCAGTAACCACAGGTGCTGCCCAGGCTCTGGAGGTGGCCTCAGAGGGCACGGCCCTGCTCCTCCAGCACCTCCAAGCTCCGCTGCCGCAGCTGCAAGTCCTCCCGGACCCAGTGGTCCTGGGTGCGGAGCTGGTGCTCCAGTAACCACAGGTGCTGCCAGTGGTAGTCCTCCAGGTTCCTGGTGCGCCTGCTGGCCCGGGTGCGGGTGGCTGTTGCAGGCGGGGTGGTGCACCCTGCAGTCCCAGGTGCTGCGGCTGTGGTGAAACAAGAGCAGCGGTCAATTATCCCTGGGGCACAGGTGGGTGAAAGCCATCCCCCCTCTGCAAGGCCAGGGCCTCTGCATGACACCCAGCTGCTGCTCCATGGTGGGCAAGGCCCAGGCGCATGCTCCCTGGGCTCCCTCTCCCCCCAGACCTCCGTATACCTAAGGGGAGCATGATGGTACTCACATGTGGAGGCCTCCCCGGCCTCTGACGACACAGGCGATCGGCTCTGTGGGGTTCCTCGGGGGTCCTGGGTCCTGGGCAGGCTGCCAGCAGGCTCCTGGCTCTCGGCGTCCTCCTCCTCCTCCTCCGTGTCACTGAGTGGTCCCTCTGCCACTGATGACCTGATGACCACCCTGGGGCAGGGACGGCGTGAGCCCCCAGGATGCGGTCCATGCTCCCACCCCTTTTTTCTTCCCTCCCATCTCCCCAGGACGTGGGGGAAGCCCTGCTACAGTTAGCAGGGGTCAGGCAGGCAATGCGCTTGCGTGTGCTGCTTGTGTTCCCCTCCCCAGCATACAAGGGGAGTCCTGCCAGCTGGAGAGAACGTGTTGCGCATGCTCGCTGTGTGTTCTCCCTTCCCCCTCCCGTCTCCCCAGGAGGTGGGG